AGATCAAAGCATTTCAACTTAAGCATTTACTTTCATTATCAATGACCATGACATCATTTAGGTTTTAAAGTTGTGTCTTAGCCTGTTTCCTATACGTTTTGAGACATTTCAGTTTTGGATAAGATCTTTGTACATATATGATGATAATATCAATATACAAAAAAAAATTTATTTTATGCAATTGAATTATATTATATTCATTACATAAATTGGATTAATGAAATTCATATTGTACATAATGTTTCAATTGTGTATAAAGAAAACATTAAATTTGATCATTACTCTTAATATATTATAATATATTATAATACAACATTACACAATATTTCAATTATATTAACTCTTGCTCCGTATCACTGAACTATCAGAGATCACATAACTTGAAATTAAATTAACTTAATTAATAACTTTGAAATTTTATTTTACTAGTCTCTAGTATCTATCAAAATTAAATTAAATCTTAGATATTACAGAACAATTAGTACACTCATCTATAACCCAACAATATTATTTGAAGGTTAAAATAATTAAATAATTGAAAACAAAGAATAGAATAATTAAGTAGAATTTTACAATATTCTTTATTAGCTTCATTCGCAATGTATAATACATTAGTTGTTGAAAAAAAAGTAAGACCAAAATAAAGAAAACGAGAAAGAGAAGTCTGAAAGTTATCGAAAGTTTTAACTTCCTTTTTAAGCAGTCGGTCGACAATGTCGACCATGTCTCATATTGTTGCGTTCTGTCCACCTGGTACACAGACATTACATTCAGGAGCCGAAGGTTCGATGACCTTAACAACCGACGAGTTCTCACTTGCAGAAAGCTACTTTTGTCGTTCTCTTTTCACCCGCCTACCATAGATGTGTGTCGCTTCGTTGCGGCTTACGTAAAACATTCGTTTGATATTTTTAGCTTTACAGAAGAAACCGACGTCTTAGTCCGTATTTCCGAAATACAAATAAGAAACAAACGTAACATTTCCATGATAAATGGAACAATTTTACTTGCTGCAAAATAATCACGAGTGATTGACTGAGAAACATCGTATATATATTAATTCTAATTATGAATCGAATAATTAATTCATTTAGCGAAATAATTAATAAATAGTGATATGTATTTAACTAACACAGGAATCGAAACTTTTCTAATACTTGTTATAAGAATGTTATATAATTGAGGTTAGAATCGAGTATCAAGAACTGACCTGTGACAAGCAATATTTTTGTATCCTACATTCCACGCAAATTAACTATTCAGAATTCTTGCTCGATATAATTGTGTTTTTTGTTGTGTTAGTTAAATTATCATGAATTTCCCCAAGTAGAATGCGAATGTGCATAGTACGAAAAAAATGTTTACTTTTGGGCTGTAAAATAAGATTGAACGAAAGATTTCCAAGGAGAGACAACCAGAATGTACATATCTCTCGTAGATAGATTATAAATTGATATTTAACTCTTACGTAACGAAATGCAAGTGAGAGTATGTAGAATGCTATTCCTAATCGGCGTGTAACCTGTATCCTCTTAGGCCTTGTAGTGAAACACACGAAAGAGGTTGATTGTAGGTATCGATCTTAAAACGAAGAATCTATGTTTATGACCACACAGAAGCATGCGCTCTAGTCTCGACCTAAATAATCATGCACGCAATGTTCAGGAACGTAAACAAATACATGCAGCTATATATATATATATATATATATAAGACGACAGCATTGATGTCATTACCGAAGTCGTAACCATTACGAAAATGTTTCTTTTGTAGATAACGCCATGTAACACGCCAGCCACGCCACCAAATTTCCCTGATGCGCTGTTGGCGTTCTCCAAAATGTCCGCAGGTGACAAAACTCCCTCCGGTGAGTCTCACCTTGATTATTTACTTATTTATCCTATTTTATTTTTCTACAGATTTTATAAATGGACTTGAAAAGATTTGCTTGTGTTTTATAGGTAGTTTTAAATAGAGGAAATGGTTCGTTCAAGTTCAAGCGAAACAAATGAGCTCAAATAAGTCTAATTTCTATAAGCTTCTTATTACATAATAACTTGAATCAATTTTAGAAGTAGTAGATTGAATTGAATTGAAACACATATGTATTGTGTTTGATATTTGTGTTTTATATATTGTTTTAGAAATATGTTTAAACGTCTACAAATAACTTGCACAAGCTGCATTTGTCTATTTGTGCACAAACTGCAATTGTCTATAAATAAATGGATTGAAAGCATCCAATGAAGCATTGTTCATACGAATATAATAATATAATGTTAAAAATAATATTAAGATGTTAAATTAGAAAAAGATTTCATTGTAATTCTAATTTTAACTGTGCAATTTATATTGCAAATTTATTATGTATATAATTTATTCTTGCGTAAATTCAATTCAAAAATGGCGAGGCATTCTTTCACTGAATCACCTGTTCTATGTGTTCGTTATTGTATTTCTTTTTTTGGCGGCAGTAATTTTTAACTGCACTGCGCATACTAATCAATTTATAAGAATGTAATGTATACATTCTTATACTTCATTAAGTCTAGATCGTTATTTCACAATTGCACGTTATGATATAATACTTTATACGTAATGTAAAACTGCATAAATCATCACGTTTAAGAATTTCCAGTCCATACATACATTTGTTTTGGTTCACCATAGAGAGAAAACTTTGTGTAATCAAAACAATTTCAACTTAATTAACACATTAAGAACCAGTGTTTCATTAATGTAATATTTTATTTATTCAGTTAATTATACGTTAATGAGTTTTATTTTTCTAATTCTATTGTACTGTATTGTACGTTATTTTACCTATTTTTTATTATCTATATTTATTCAAAGTAGTTCAGAAATATGCATAAACTTGTAATATTCAGTGCGACAACTTTCAAACTGACAAGTGAGTTCACTATAGAGAGAAAACTTTGTGTAATCAAAACAATTTCAATTTAATTAACATATTAAGAACCAGTGTTTCATTAATATAATATTTTATTTATTCAGTTAATTATATGTTAATGAATTTTATTTTTCTAATTCTATTGTACTGTATTGTACGTTATTTTACCTATTTTTTATTATCTATATTTATTCAAAGTAGTTCAGAAATATGCATAAACTTGTAATATTCAGTGCGACAACTTTCAAACTGGCAAGTGAGTAAAATGAGCTCAGATAATATATAAATTGCACTTGTTTGTTTCACTCACGCAAATCGTATCTTGTTTTTTTTTCCCTCTTTTAGAAAAACAAAGTGATATTACAATATGTACATTTACAATTTATAATATTTACATACTTTTCACGTCAGTGCATCATCATAAAAATTATTCCGCGTGATATTCATTAAATTTGATAATACATACTTCGACATAGTCACACCATCGAACTACAGAAGACAATGATAATTAATCAATACAAGCAACTTGTCGAAGTCCAATAAATTATTGTTTGTTTTAAAACAGATTGATTTACGAAGCATTCGTTGACAACCTGTTTTCACTTTATTTATACCAATCCCACGAATATCTTTAAATATCTCATTCCATTAGGGGCCAAGTAGTAGATGCGTAAAACTTACGTAAAATGTATATCATCGAAAGATATAAATAAAATAGCTTTTGACACCGCAAGAAAGGAATACAGTTAGCTACAGAACACTACGTGTACTTGCAAATTTAAAAATATTTCACTGTGACTGGCGAATTTTTACCCAAGTATTTTAGCTTTGAAAAGATCATTAACGAAATAGAACACTTGAAAAATACACACTAAATACGAGAAACGTTGTATTTTTGATATTTTATGTACAGGGTGTCTCGTAAGTCAGTGGTATGATTTAAAAAAAAAAAGAAAATATATGTGCAATTTTGTATCTTAAACTTTGCTATAAACAAATCATCAGTTTTGTTACTAATATAGGGGATAGCTTCGGTGATACTGACATTGGTGAGACTGTTGCCGTTATAAATGGCAAAGACGTAACGCAAATAGATGGAAATCGTGTGTGTAAAGCCTTTCACGAAAGTTTCGCCTCATCGTCTATTGATGACGTCTGTAGTTTAAAGGGTTTAACGCGAGAGACGTGTTAGAGATACTGAAGAAAAATTAGCGAGTTCTTAGAATAGCAGTTTCCTAGCTACTACTTAGAGCCACGATGACAATTCGCAAAGAAGAAACCACAATGAAGCGTAATAAAACACGTTAGATCTTTGGTTTTAGAATTTTATATTCGTCGTAGCATTAAATATATACATATTACGTAGAAAAATACACGTTGCATTATTTAAAAAATAATCTACTGGTATTTAAATAAATACTTGATAGAAAAAAAATAGACAAATTAGAAATTAAGAATTAAGTAGAAAAACTGTGATACAAAGTAATAGAAATAAAATGAAATTGATTAATTTTCTTTGCTAATTGTATTTCTTTTAGAAGTAAATAATTGAACTAAATTAGTAAAGAGATGATAATTAATGAATTCATGTTACGTTGTTTCCTCTAAAAAACAAAAATTACCAAACTTCTTCGTTTTCTCTTCCTACTTTAATGTTGTAGATTAATATATCGTTCGCGTACATACGTTGCTTCAAAACCGCGACAGACAAAAATATATATACTATGCTGTAATATTTAACTTTTATCTGACAATGTTATCCGAGTCATTTGCATTAAAAAAAAAAAAAAAAAAAAAAAAAAAATTCAGTCCGTGAAATTTCACTTCACGGCTCGCCATGGCAAATGGCGACAAAGATGTCTAAGGCGCAAAGAATAAATCGGTTATTATTCCCATTGCAGGAATGTCGCCGAGCCAAAATGGATTGCATCAGAACTCGATGCAGATGGGGATGGCAGCGCAACATCACGGAGGACGGTGTAGCGTGACCGGGAACGCGCAACAGCAAACGCAAAGTCAACAGTTGGGCCTAGGCGAGCCACAGAGATAAAAGAAACTTGCGGTTCGGCGGCCCGTGCGCAAGATTCCGAGGTCGCACGATGTGCACGTAAACGGTGTTTAAAACAGGAGGCATGGTTTATAAAAGATCGACTGGGCTCCCCAGGGTTTGCACACTGTGCGTGACCGCGGGAGCGATTATTAGCCGAGAGATTCACGCGCTCGTATCTCCTCATCCCTAGAAGAAGGACGCATGATTTTCCTGAAACAAAGAAAACGAAAAAATACACACACACACACACACAC